AAAGACTCAAACTAAGAATACGGAACATAAGGGCAGAGGGAGAGCCATCTTCAGTGAGAGGGAAAACATTGCCTGAGCAGGGAAGTTTCTGGAGTCTCTGAAAGCATAACCTCTTATAGGTACTGTGGGGACAAGACTAAGTCATTTCAAAAATACACTGTGCTATACCACTTTTGAAGTTTGGTGGTTTCTTACAAAACTAAATATAATCTCACCATACAATCCAGCAACTGCACTCCTTGGTATTTACCCACGGGAGCTGAAAAGTGATGTTCACACAAAAATCTGCACGTGCATGTTTGTAGCAGCTTTATTCATACTTGCCAAAACTTGGAAGCAACCAAGATGTACTTCAGGGGAATGGGTAAATCAGCCGTGGCATATCCATACAATGGAATATTATTCAGTGCTAAAAAGAAATGAGCTATCAAGCCTTGACAAGACATTGAGGGAACTTAAATGCATCTAAGTTAAAGAAGCCAATCTAAAAAGGCTGCATGTTGTATATGCCGATTACGTAACATTCTGGAAAAGGCAAAACTTTGGAGACAGTGAAAAGATCAGGGGAGGGGATGAATAGACAGACCACAGAGGGCTTTTAAGGCAATGAAATTATTCTGTATGGTTCTACAATGATGCCATAATGTCATGATGCATTTGTCAAAAACCATAGAACGTACAACACCAAGAGAGAAACCTGATATAAACAACGGACTTTGGCTGATAAGGACAATTACAACGATGGTAACAAATGTACCACTCTAATGCGGGATGTTGATAGTGGGGGGACATTATGTACGTACGGGCAAGGCAAGGGGTATTTGGAAACTCTGCGTATTCTTCTCAGTTTTTCTGTGAACCTCAAACTGCTATAAAAAATAAAGCCTATTAGAAAACACCCTAGAATGAGGAAAATTCTGTCCATGCACTCCTGTGGGTGCTTGAGGAAAAGGCAGGTTCAGAAGTCCCCTGAATCCCAAGTTGGGTGAGGTAGGTACTCACTGCAAGGACCACCCCGACCACATCCATTTACTCGTTCCTCTCCTCTGCTAGGGTGTGAGCCTCCTGAGGACAGGGACTGTTTGATTCAACGTTTCGTCCCCATTTGCCTGGCACAAGGCCTGGCATCTGTTTGGTGCTTAATGCACATGTGCTCAATCAGTGAATCAGAGAGTGTAGGCAGCTAATTAGCTACGAAATTTTATGCACTATGTCTTTACATGGAAAGATGTGAATGATATATAAATTAGGAAAAGCAAATTGCAGAACTATATAAATCCCATTTTTATAACAACAAAACACTGTAATTGTGCATGTGCAAAAATGCATATTTGTATCTTTCTTATCTACATACAGAAAAAAAACTAAATGTAAAAAGTATCTCTGGGCATTGCTGTTGGATAAGTGGAGAAAGGGAAACTCCTGTGGTCAGTTTTTGAAAGGTCGTACACGAAACATGTATAAGATGGAAAATTTACCAAGTGAACATATACATAAAAGTGAACATTTTTTTCCTTTCTTCACACCAGCTCACATCCCACTGATAACTGTTTCCTGTAATTTATTGCCAAAAAGCATTTAAAATTTGTTTAACATTTATTTTTCGAGAGACAGAGCAAGACAGAGCACGAGTGGGGGAGGGGCAGAGAGAGAGAGAGAGAGAGAGAGAGAGAGAGAGAGAGACACGGAATCTGAAGCAGGCTCCAGGCTCTGAGCCGTCAGCACAGAGCCCGACGTGGGGCTTGAACTCATGAACGGTGAGATCATGACCTGAGTGAATTCAAATACTTAACTGAGCTACCCAAGCACCCTTATTGCCAAAAAATATTTTAATGCCTATATTTACATCATATATACATTTATTCTTGTAAAAATGTACTTGTTCTTTTGACTCTTGAGGATATAGAACTACTTTATTCTTTTCTCAGGGTCATCCTTAGTCCATTCTATAGGTTTACTGTAATTCAGTTAACTTGACCCCTACTTTTGAACACTGAATGTTTCCAATCTTTTGCTGCTTCCAAACAATGTAGCATTAAATAGGTAAACAGGTACGTACATCTTGCTCAACATTTGCAACTCTATATGGGGTAAATTTAAGGCAGAGGGATTAATGGTAAAAGGAGATGGGCATTTGCGGTTCTGATAAATATTGTCCAAGTATCCTCCGGAAAGAATGCACCAATGTACATTTTCACCAACAGTTTATGAAAAGGCTGCCTTTCTCCTCAGTCTTGCAGAAACAGGCACCGCTAAAAATTGGTGTTTGCCAATCAGATCAGTGAAACAACAATCTCATATCTTTATTCACGGTAGTTTATTTGCATTTGTTTAATTATGAGTGAGGTTGTGCATCCTGTCGTTTGCTTTCTGGAGTATTGCCCCTTTCCCGTGCAGCTTTAGCAATGTTTATATGGTCAAATATATTTTGTTTCTTGATGGCTTCTGGAGTTCATTCTTACTGAAAATGATCTTGCTTATCACAGATCATAAATCCTTCTAACTTCTTTCGTTTTTTATGTTTACATCATTGATCCAGCCAGAATTTATTTTGGAGAGGAGAGGAATGTTTACTTTAACTTTGTAGACATCTGTATTGTTTGAGTTGTCTAACATGAGCATACGTTTGCTTTGGCAGTTTGAAAATTCCAGCAAAAGAAAAAAAAAAAAAAAGAAGAAGAAGATAAAGGGTAAAAACCCCCAGGACAAAGCCTGGAGGTGGAAACATCAGGTAAGAGCTATTTTAATACAGTGACCACCTATTATTTGTCAGGTTCGGTGCTAGGTACTGAAGACATAATAAGCGCCTGGACTGCGGCATTGACGATGGTAATGGGAAGGAAGGGAAGAATTGATGAAAGTGTTTAGCTCATAGAATGATCACCATGGCAACGGGAGCCTGAATCATCACTATGGAGACAAAGTACTTGAAATTATGACTAGAGGGATAGTGTGACTCTGTTGGTGAGGATTTTGAAACAGGTAAACAGGTTGTTACAGATGTTTCAAAATGACACTGTTTCTCTCGGTGGAGGTTATTGGCTCTTTTTTCCCAGTGTTTTCATTTCAGGGAGGCCAGAGACAAAATAGTTCAAAGACAATATGGATTCAGACAAGCACGAGCTTGACTCAGTCATTGCTAGTCATGAATGCACCAGCCAGGGAACAGCCTTTTAGTCAAAGAACTTACTATCTAATATAACATGTATTACATATAAAGTGTCCTGATGGTTTGGAGATCTGCTTGCCAGGATACCTTTTTTTTTTTTTTTTTTTTTTTTTTTTTTTGTGGGGAGAGAGTGCTACTCACACACTTTCTTCCCTGCAGCAATCATAAAGATGCCTATCCGACACTTACGGCCCCAAGAGAAACTTACGCATGGTTGGGAGGGGGGCTTTGTTTTAATGGGAAATCTGAGTTGGGCTTGAGGTATACTCCTGTGCCATTTGATTATACCAATATGCGGTCAGCTTCACCGGCTCATCAGTACAGGTTGTTATCAACGTCCAGATAATAACGCCTCCCAGCCCCTCTCTCCCATCCATTCACACAGAACCTCCAGCCCCACGTTCAGGGATGAGAGGGACTTGGGCAGTCCCCAGGGCAGGGGGATTCATACAAGTGCTAGTCAGCCTTTGACGCCACTGTATTTCTGCCACACTCCTTGCCCTGCCTGTGACCCCTGCTCATGTCACCGCTGTGTCCCGCGATGCCCAGCCACCCTGTCAGCCTAAACAAGGTAGGTCACTGCTCCCGTTTTGCCAGTTCACCCTACACTCTTCCCTGATCCCCATAGCTTAGCCCCAACCAGATTTTCACTTTGGGTGGGTATTTTCTTAAAGTTCAAGGACAACCAAAGGGCAGCGCATAGCTGGTTATCAGAGGAGACTACTTTCATCAGAGGAGCCAGGCCCAGGCTCAGTCTCCACCGCGTGACAGAAGCCAATTTACCTCCAACCTCGAATGCCCTCAACACATCTATATTCCTTTGCATAAAGTGATCCTGTAAAATTGGTCTCTGATTTGAGCCGTAGCAAACACCTTGGAACTTGCCTCTTTTAATTCGGTCACAGCAGCATTCACTCCCTCCAGGAATGTTTGAGGTTCCCGGCCCACAGACCTCTGCTCTAACAGGTGCCACAGGCGCTCTGAACCGTAAACCACTCGGGGGGGGGGGGGGCTTAGGAGGAAAACTGTGAGGAACGGTTGCACACTGAAATCACCTGGTTGGGGGAGGGGCGCTTCGAAACATACCGATACCTCGGTTTCATTTTGCAGACGTTCTAATTTAATCAGTCTGGAGTGTGGCTTGGGCATGGAGTTACTGGAAATTTCCTCAGGTGATTCTAACACCAAAGCTGAGAAACTACTTTCATCAAAGTTCTACCGGGGCAAATTAAACACAAATAATTCTGTTAGAGAAAGCAAACTCCAGTCATCTTGGGCCTTTCCAGATTTCAGAAATGGAGGGTGGATACCTTTCATGTCTCCCGTAGGTCCCTTGGCGCTCCCCAGAGTAAGCAACTAGAATCAATTCTATTGCCCTGGGCTGTTTGGTTCCTAGGGGTCCCCTCATGACATGGAAACCACCCGACTGGAATGGATATGAGAGTATTTTGTGTGGATATATTAAGTGCTTGGTAACTGGTTATTAACATTATCATCTGATCAGAAGCTGGCTGTGATGGGCCTTAGGTAGACGGTGCCCTCCTTCCAACTGGCACATAAAGAAAAGGCCGAGGCCCCTGTTACTGGCATCCTACAAAATCCCGTCGTCCCAGCCTCCCAGCAATTCTGTAGGTACTGTGGGGTATGAGGCTGCTTAGCAGTGCCTCATAGCTAGTAATGAAGTGACCTCCCATTACTGTCCATTTGGTATTAGACAGACGTTCCTCAAAGTCACTTGTCATAGAAGCAGCCAAATTTCATGAATCTGGTTTACATGGGCCGTAACCTTCTCCACACACAAATTTAAACAGAGGGTCCCAACAGATCATAATGATGGAGGAGTAGCATGTTTTATTTGCTTGTTTTCGTTTTGTTTTGAAGTCCCAAGCCTGGAGAACCCTACCGGGGAACCTAAGAGTAAAGCCAACAGATACAATGTCACAGAGTTTGTTTCAAATAACACATAGAACAGGCAATAGCCCTACTTCCATGTGGGAGAAACCTGGATGGAACTTGCCTCGTGTTCCTGGACTGGAGTCAACCGTTCAGACATTATTTTCTAGGTTTGGACTCTTCAGGACACGTGGTAACTGGGGGAGGCAATAAACCCAGGCACCAGACATTTTTTTCACTAAAAATAAAAATAAAAATAGAAAGAAAGAAAAGAATATTCTGCCTAAATCTCCTAACCTGGCTGATGTGCACAGGCTGAGGCCGGGGCAGCGCGTAGAGGAGTCTCTTGTAACACGGATACAGGACGTGCACGAGCTCTGTCCCCACAGTGTGCAGGAATCATGGGATTGCAGGGAGCTGTAGTATAATGTATAAGGCAGACGGTTGATAGGATGGCGTCGGCTGTAGTGGTTGGAGGGCATCAGGAATTTTCACTGTTCTTCAGCTTGTCTCAGATGAAATCCTTGGGAAGAGGTGGTCTGAAACGCCTGTGAGAAATCACCCTGCCGACCCAGTCAAAGGAGGGATGTGGAGACTCGGAGCACAGCAAAGCAAGGCTTTAATCAATGTTCTTGCAAGAGCGGGTGTCTGATGGACAGGCACACTGGGGCAGTCACAGCAGACAATTTATCTCCCAGCACGCAGGTTCCCTCCCCTGGTTCCTCATTGGCCGAGACTACAGAGGTTACAGCCTTACCTGGGTGTCGCCTATGCCCATGTAAGGCAAAAAGTAGTCTGTTTGGAACAAATGTACATTCCCTGAGGTGACGCAGGGACTTTCAGTTCCTCCTCCCTCTGCTCGTTGCAAAGCCTGTGAAACAAAGGGGGGGGGGGGGGGAAAGAACCAGGGAGACCGGGGAAATTAGCCATTGAAACCAAACAGATTGGGGGGGGGGGCGGGTGGGAGAACCAGGCAGCGAAATGTCTAAGGTTTGGGACCCCATTGTAAGGCGGGGGTGGGGTGGGGGTGTGGGTTCGTACATATTTCCAATAGGTTGTAAACCTATTGTTAATTAGACAGCACAGCTTTTATTTGCCATTTCTGAAAATGAATCATCTCCCTTACTTCCCACAACCTGTAATAGAGTGAGCACTAGAACACGGTAGCTAACGTATCTGCTCGGAAGTGGGACTGGCTGGGCTCAACTCCAACTATGCCAAGGATTAGCTGTGTAACTAACTGTAGGCAAGTTTCTCACCCCTCTAAGACCATTTATCTCCCCGTCAAATAAGAGTGGTAAGAATGGTACCCACCTCAGAGAGTTGTGGGGAGGATGAAACAGAGTACTATGGTATTAACAAGGTACTGTACCTGGGGCGACCTGATTGGGTGGAGGCCTGGGGCACGCGTGGTGAAAGAATTCACCCACGGAAGAGCAAAGGAGATAGAAGTTTATCGAATACACCGCGAGGGAGCAGCGGGCAGGATAGCAAAGGAGAGACTGTCTGCCGGGAAGCAGCGGTGGGTGGGGGCTGTAGTTAAAGGGCAGAGTGAGGAGTTATGGGAAAGTTCGCAAGCGTCCCTTTTTTGGTAACTGTGCCTGGTTGTAAGTGGCCTATTGGTCAGTTAGGGCCTACGGAGGTCTGCAGGTGGGTGGCTTAATTCAGCTCAGGTGGTGGCTGTGGGCCCTGCCTTGTTCAAGTTTCCATTGCTCAAGTCTGTTGCCTAAAAGTGGCTCCTACGTGATGTAAATGTAAGGTAGTGTGATAATAACGGTACCTTCCTCATAGGGTTGTTGTGGAGATTAAACAAAGCATTACGAAAGCTCGATGCTTTGGCAGACATTAAGTCCTCAGGGGAGTTAACGTTTATTATTATGGTTCTCACGGCAAAGGAGATAAGCCCGTGGGCTGGGATCAGTCAGACCTGGGTTCCAGTCTTTACCACTCATTTTATAACCTAGGACAACTTACTTTTCCTGGGCCTCAGTTTCCTCCCCTGTGGCATGCAGATAGCAGCCGTTGGTACCTCCAGTGGGTTACGGTCTGGACTAAAGGAGGGAACGTCTGTAGCTTTGCCTGGCTCCTAGCAGGAGCCAGCTATCTTTACTGATTAGGGTCTGATGAGAAAGGCAGCTCACAGGGGACTTTCTGCTCTCTTTCTCCTTCCAAGCCCAAGCTCTCAGGGTTGGGTGAGCTTTGCAGGCCTTCGCCACCCCCACTGCTCTAAGGCCCCTTTGGTCCTCAGCTCCCAGACTGTTCCCAAATATGGCAATTCAATTTCTTCCTGTAGGTAACAACCTTGTCGGGAGTTTGGCAATGCTTTTGAGTCCATCGCTGGCAGAAGCTTTATGGTGGCCTAATGTGCGGTCACTGTCGACCAGTTAAACCTGAACAGTCCAGTGGGCAGCGTCCTTCAAAATTCTTGGAGGGTCTGAGAACACCCACCTTTGGACGTCCGAGGTGTGGGGGTCGGAAGGCTTCAAATCCGTTGGAGGAAAGCGGCCACCTACCAAGGGGCCACCCGAGCCCCGCCAGTGGCCAATCGTAGCTTCCAGAGGGACGGGGAGAGGGGTGCGGTGCTCCGGACTCGGATGCCTAAGACCCGAAATCCTCGCCGGCAGCCCCGGCGTCCCGGAGGAGGGATTAGCGCACATCACCCCCTTGTGGCCGGCCAGCAGCCACCGGCCAGTCGGTGCGCGCCCGCGCGGTCCCTCCCGCAGGTAGGAAAGACGGGCGGAGCTGCTGCGGGACACCTTGGCCGCGGCGGGGACCAGCTCTGAATCTTTGCCTTGCTTCTCGGAGACAGGTGCTCTGGTGCCGAACCCAGCACTGCCCGGCTCCGCAGAAAGATTCCTCTGCCCAAAGCCACCTACCGGTTCCATCCACGCCTGCGGGAGGCGGGACTTGAAATCCGAGGGGCGTGTGCGCGGCGCTAGGACCCGGAGTTCGCTGAGTCGCCCCCAGGACTTGGGCGACCGCACAGAATGTCCTTCCCGCGGGACCAGGTCCACCGACCTCGCCGCCAGAGCAGGTGGGTTCTTGGGACTTGTTAGAGCCCAGCACGCACGTGCGCCGCTGCTCGCGACACTCAACCTAGGCCAAGGGGACGGGACCGAGGCCAGCGTGTGGGCTGGCCCCGGGCCGAAAGGCCGTTCTGCGCTCGAGGCTACCGAAACCTGCGCAATGTCACTTCCAGTCCAACAGCCGGCTGGTCACCACTGGACCACCACCTCCTCGGGGAGGGGCAGGACCCGCCCGGGCCGGGAGGGGGTTCCTTTTTCTCCACGCAGAAATTATTGGGGGCTGCCCTAGAGCAGCCTTGGCTGGGTACCCTTGGGTGGGGCTGAACGTAGACATCCCAGGTCGGCGATAGCTCCAATTGCCCGAAGGGAGACCGGGCAACCCAAACTGGGTTTGCAAATCCAAGAACCCAAACTGCCTCTTTAGAAAGAAGTGGTGGAAAAGCTGGGACCCAATATTAAAGAACCTACAACTCGGGCTTTCCTTTATCACGTGACCCTCCTGAGTTTTCTTTGGAATAAGGCTTCCGTGAATTAGGCAAGAGGTGGGGGGTCATTCTTTGAGGTGTCAGAAAAATTGTAACAGTGTTATCTCCCGTCCACCCATATGCAAAGCAGCCATCTACCTTCAGCAGCCCATCCTGACCCCACAAATAAGTACCTATCAACACAGAGCTCCTTTGAAAACTTAGAGGAAATGGACAAGTATACAGAAAAACACATCAATTAACAAAAAATAATATAAGAAAACATAGGAAACCCAAATAATCAGGGAATGGAATTGGAAATTAAAAAAAGAAATCTAGGGGTGCCTGGATGGCTCAGTCTGCTGAGCTTTGGACTTCAGCTCAGGTCATGATCTCATAGCCTGTGGGTTCGAGCCCCATATCCGGCTGTGTGCTGACAGCTCAGAGCCTGGAGCCTGCTTCGGATTCTGTGTCTCCCTCTCTCTCTCCCGTCCCCTGCTCATGCTCTGTCTCTCTGTCCTTCAACAACAAATAAACATTAAAAAAATTTTAAAAAGGGGCGCCTGGGTGGCTCGGTCAGTTAAGCGTCTGACTTCGGCTCAGGTCATGATCTCACGGCCCGTGAGTTCGAGCCCCGCGTCGGGCTCTGTGCTGATGGCTCAGAGCCTGGAGCCTGTTTCAGATTCTGTGTCTGCCCCTCCCCTGTTCATGCTCTGTCTCTCTCTGTCTCAAAATAAATAAATAAATAAATAAACGTTAAAAAAAAATAGAATTAATTATAAAAAAAAAATTAAAAAAAAAAGAAGGAAAACAACGTTCCCCTACCTTCAGACAATATGGTTGCCTACATCGAGCATCTAACATAAACTATTGGATAAACTTACATAAACTATTGGAATTACTAAGTGTAGCAACGTTGCTCTATACACGATCAGCATAATAACAGCTATCACATGCTTTTATTACGTGTCTGCTACTGTGTCAAGGGCTTTCACGTATTTTTACATAGTACAGTTTAATTCTTACAACGACCCTGAGGTAAGTACGAATACTGTGCACACCTTTAGGTGTGGAAACGGAGGCAGAGTGATTAGGCAATTCCTAGGCTCCTAGAGCTAGAATAGGAACAGCCAGGATTCAAACCTCAGGCGGCCTGGCTCTAAGGCTTGCACTTTGAACCCTATGCAATGTTGCCTTCCTTGCGTTCCGTTACATGAACAAAACAAATTAGATAATATAATAGGGGAACAGATGAAAAAGATGTCTTTACAAAAGCAACACAAAATTTTAAAGAAATGAGGCATAAAGCTAACAAAAGGTATACAAGACCGAGCTCCTTACTTTGGAGGAGATGCTGGTTTCCTCCCAGCAGGCTTAATGCTTCTGACGACGATAGTGAACTTGGGACTTCAGCAGGTGGATCGGACTGCAGCTGTAGCAGCAAAGCACCTCCTGGATTTCAAACAATAAGCACTGGCCAGATCTAAAAATTTACTTATCAAGTTCTTTCCTGAGGCCAGGCTTTTCGGGACAACTGCAGACAGCAGTGTGTTTTTCTGGATCAGCACTTGGGGCTTTCCCTCTTTCCAGACGGTGAGGTGTGGAGTCTAGTCTCCACGCAGCACAGTCTGGATGTCATGTGCAACTCCAGGGCCAGTATGTCCGTTTGGAATCTCCACCTGCCCCAAGTGCCAAAGATCCCTCCAATGCTTGACCTCCATCACTACACAAAAATATTTTTTAGCACCCTGGAGAAGGTCTTACTCACATTCTGAGTAGTGGCCAAAGGTTTCGGCCAAGTTTTCCAAATTTCAGTTTGGCTAGCTGCTTACAGAGGTTTGAAGGGGTTGTTTTCCAACATATGCAGGTTAAGAATTTGTGCTTGAGACAGTTTACAGGATGGCCCCACAAATACCTCTGATATCCTTCATCCCTAATGGGAGCTCTCAGAGCTATCTGCTGTCTCATTACAGTCTGTAGTGTTTTTACTATCATCACAGAACCAAAGGGGTCTTACTGTCAGGCTCTCAGAGTGAGAAACAGCAAACGAATGAAGAGCTGCTTGTGAGATTCCCTTCAGGGCATAGAAATATCCCAGGGAGATCTTAGGGGCTATGCCCAAGGTTGACCGCCCCTCTGTGTCCTCAGAAGCTAGTCTATGGTCCAGCTCTGGCCCCTATTCTGCCCTTTTAGCTGAATAGTAAGCTCTACTGGGTCTCTATTCTCTTCTGATTGTCCTACCTCTAGCCATCACACCTACAGTCCTCTGCTCTACCTACTGAGCCACAGAAGGGCTCTCTGATTGTCCTAATTCTAAATCTTCTTTTAGTGTTTTACAATACTTGTATTTTTACTCATACTTCCCTAACTGGAGAAATTGTTATAGGGTACTTTTATTTTTTTATTTTATTTATTTATTTTTTTTTAATTTTTTTTTTCAACGTTTATTTATTTTGGGGACAGAGAGAGACAGAGCATGAACGGGGGAGGGGCAGAGAGAGAGGGAGACACAGAATCGGAAACAGGCTCCAGGCTCCGAGCCATCAGCCCAGAGCCCGACGCGGGGCTCGAACCCACGGACCGCGAGATCGTGACCTGGCTGAAGTCGGACGCTCAACCGACTGCGCCACCCAGGCGCCCCTATAGGGTACTTTTAAAAATAGATTTTCGGGGCGCCTGGGTGGCGCAGTCGGTTGAGCGTCCGACTTCAGCCA